CAGAGGTATAGTATTAGTATTTTACATATAGAAGTATAGTATTAGTATTTTACATATAGTAATAGTATTTTACATATAGAATTGGTTCTAATGAATGTTTTGAAAATAGTTGTAAACCCTTACATTTACCCAGTGAACTGACTGGACCCAGGTGGTACACAGAGATGAAAACAAAACCTCCTACATAAGTTGTACCTGTTTATCTGCAGTATTCCCTTCTTTACAGCCATTCAAAGTGCAGAATTTGAAAAGCCTGTCTGAGCTTTCACAAAACAGGAGGTGGAGAGCTGAAATTACACACTTCAGAGCTCAGTTAAGAGAACTCTGAGAGCTGATTGGAGGGAAAGGACACAACCCCCCCCCCTTTCACACATAGCTCAGGAACAGAGTTGAGGCTGTCATTCTCAGGCTGTGTGTTGAAGCTCCCTTCCCATCATCCTTTTTCCCTTGGTGTCAGGAAAACATGTTAGACGTGACTCATAAAGATAGCAGAGGAACAAAGCAGCAGACAGAAATGACACATAGTGCTCTTAACTGAGGCAAGTACATACAATAGAGGGATATGTTTTGCTCATATTTCATGTCTAAGGTTTACAGAATCTTTACATTTGATTTACAACTCTGCAGAGTGTGCAAATGAAGTGGTGCTTGCGTAAGATATTCCATGGAAGAAAAGAGACTTACTGAAATCCAGAGCAATGAGTCTACCTCATGTACCCCTTGCAGTTGGTCATGTGATGTCCAGGGGCGGACTGACCATTTGGAAACCTGGGCACTGCCCGAGGGCCCGGGGTCAGTAGGGGGCCCCATGAGATGCCCCTGGTACCTTTTTCATAGGCTTTTTTGAGTTTGGGCAAGGACACAGGGGCCCCATGATCCCCTATTGCCCGGGGGCCCCATGAGTTGTCAGTCTGCCCCTGGTGATGTCACAGATCACGTGATCAATCACATGGGTTACACGACGCACACCGCACTGCTAGTTATCAGCAATTCCCCTTTTTGCTTTATAAGATATTGTGTGAGAATCTTTCCATTGGGACCCTTTGTGTAATTGTGGGTTTTACTAATTTTGGCCAGCTACTAAAATTTAGCCCAGAAAATGCATTTGCATGTTGTTGGAGAAGGTGGTGGTGACATATGATATGGTCCGGTTTGGATAAAGTGGATACACATGTACATCCATCCTGGTTTGACATATGTAGCAGTGCAATAAAAACTCCATTCATCTACATGGGAGACAGACATTGTTATGTACACACAAAGCCAATTTGAGCAGTGACATATTTTTTCAGGAAAAAAGCTCATCTAGTGGCATTCTTAAGCCCTTCAAAGTGTATGCTAGTCCAGACATGCACTGTGTGTATATAACATTCACAGTTCTCCATATAGATGAAAGATGGATCTCCTTCACAAGCAATGGATGTCTTACTATTAAGTGACAAGGGTGACAAGTGTCAAGTATGAAAATCCGTCAGCATACAACGTACACCATCCCATATTTCTGCAACAGACCAAAACATTGCTTGACACAGTTATAAGGTTTATGTATAGGCACCAGCTCTGTCTCAGAGCTCTGTGTTGGAGTATATATAAGAGTGATTATATAAAACAGAGAACTAACACCAAAACACAAGCCTAATGAGATCATACAAGTCCACAAAATAACAAAAGACCACCTACCCTTTTGAAAAAATCCATACATGCCAGTCTAGGCCTATATTTAATATCAGTGCTATATTAGGACAACTGAATTTTTTTTAACTCATTAATTTTGGTATGTATTGCTATACACAAAAACAAAAGGAAATAGAAAGACACTAATCTGATCAATTAAACGTGTTTAAAAAGCTTAAAAAGCTAATTAGAAATTTCCAGATGTCACAGCTGTCAGTTAATAAAAAAAACCCCACAACAATAACAACAAAATCTAAACATATTTTAACATTTTGTTTAAATTTTGTTTATTATTAATAAAATATACATTGCCTGTGAAACAATATATATTTTTTGTAACATGGATTTATGTAATAGCTAAACAGTTTACCAGGCTACTCCGGATGAATAATTACATTTATTATTGCAATCAGTTTGTAAGGAAATGTGATCTTGTTCCGTCATAAATAGATCTTGTGTTTAGAGAATAGTTGCCATCTATAAATCAGTTTTTTCATGCATTTTAAACAGTGATAAATCCAATTTGTGTTGTCTATGCAAAGTTCACAAGTTCACATGAACTAATAAGCAGCCATTACATCAGTTCCAGAGGCTGTTATTCCAGATTTACCTATTTAATTTCAGAGCCGGTGCTTTTTCTGGAAATGTGATGCTTTAAAAACATGGTTAACCGTTCATTGTCTGAATCCTTTCTACCCTTATGTTAGGAGATTTTGGGGGATTGTTGTTTACATGGTTCCGTTCAGTCATCTGACATGCAACATTAAACATACAGAGAATAGGCAGCCACTTGAGAATTTAAGCATCTGTCTACATGTATTTATAGGTGAAATCAGGGAACTGATGGTTTCTGAACATGCCATGTTTTTATAATTAGACATTTACTCTTTATATTGCTGTAAGAGGAATCATGCATAAATATAGCAATAACTTTTGACACAGTGATGCTTTGTTGTAAGTAATAGCTAATATATTACAGAGAATAAAACAAGGTATAATACATTTTATTTACTGAATTGTAATTTAGATGTACTGATGAATGAAATGATTGAATGTGTTTTAAACAAATCTGAATTCCTTTCAAAGGGAAGAATCAGTTTAATTTGATGAATATAAAAAAAAAATAAAAAAAATGGTTAGAGATGAATGTGGAAAGTTACTGAATCATTTAAAAAGCAACAGTTTTTGTTCTAAGCCAGTGCCCTGCATTAAAGGAAGTGGCTTTGTTTGACACCATGTACTGTACTGTATCAAAACTCTTTGTAGCACCTCATTACAAGCTTACTAGAATGTTTGGAGGAGTGCATTCTGGTTAGCTTGGGCATCATGGAATAGATAAGAACTGTGGCCTGAAGATAAGTCTGTTGCTAAAGACATCAAAAGAAGAGAGATTAAAGTGCATGCACATTTACAAAAGATAGAACACTCTACCAGATTCCAACAATGTAATATTTGCTGACCATCCAGTATATATCATAAAAAATATTTTACTGTTAGCACCTTGAAGAAAAAGTACCGGTGCCAAGGACCATTAAGCAATTTATAGCTAAATATGTATATGTATTCAAAATGACCTTTGTAAACAGACTTGGTTGCCTAAAAGTAGTCTAATTTTTTTTCACAGCACCCCAGGAACCTGGAATATGGAACACTCTATTATTCATATACAAATGAGGCTTCTTAATATAGTACTGGGCCACATGGGGAGTTATGGCAGTTTAGTGGCAAAGTGATGACTTCTTAGCTTAATTTGGTATTTGTATACAATAATGTTTTTATTTAAGTGCTTCTGGAATGCCCTAGAAAAGAAATGTTATACCTGCAAACGCCTCTTATTGGATCAGGAGTCATTTTACTAAGGTCAGTTTGACATTAATGCATGATTACCCTTTGCCCCATGCAAAGAAATTAGGGAGAGTTAATTATGTCATTCAGTCAAGAAGGTCACAATAGCTATTATAATTATTATTAATAATGTTACCAAGGTGGGCTATTCACTAATTCTTCAATTACTAAATTGGCTACTTATGAAATGGAGAAAAAATATCAAATATATCAAATACACTTTAGTTTTATTAACTGTTCCTTCAAAAGTTTAGTAATTATAGTTCAATTCAGCTGGTTTAATTTACTGAAATGTATCTTTATAATAAACTATCGTACTCCAGAAATTTGCAATAAGGCTTGTATTGGAGAAGAACCTTCTTTCTAAGTAAAGGCAGGGCTCACTTTAACTTAATTATTCAACTGTTACCAGTCACTGGCTGGTCCTTTTGTTTCCCTGTTAAACTTATAGTCCAGATGTTTAGTACATGTTTTGTAAAATTCCTTGAAAATCATTACAAGGTTCTCTCATGCTGGTATAAAGTCCCATTGATTGTTCATAATTTCTGGCCATCTGTGCCTAACCTATGTTGGAGATGCAGATTGGAACCCAGCTCACTGTTGCACATATGGTGGATGTGTCCTATTCTCCAAAATGTCTGAATTGAGGTTCAACGCGTGATTAATTGATTATCTACCTGCACTTTAGACTTCACTCCTGCCTAATTCCTCCTACACCACACTGCCTTACCTGGATGTCATCATCTAGCATGGATAACTTCTCCAAATTTATCACATTTTGGTCCTGCTAGACGCATTTTCAGACCATGACAGAATATGCCATTATAATGGGTGCCAACCTTGGTCAGTCCATGTAGGATAAGAGATCTCTTCTTTGCATGCCACCTCTACTGGCTTGAGGTCTTTCCTGCCCTAACCATGGTGGTCCATGGTGAGGAGGCAGAGGAGGGGATGAGGAGAGTCTCTCTCCCTACCTCATGCTCTCTCCCTCATCCCCTCTTATTATCCCCCTCCTTCCCTCTCCCATGTCCCCTCTTTCCATCTCCACCCCTCCACAACCCCTTCCAGCTCCCTCACCTCCCCCTCCTCCTTCACCTCCTTCCCTTTTTTCTTTTCTGTTTGGCCTCTTCTTTATATTTTTCGCTTATGTACAACCTCTTTAAACTTCAATAAAAATTATTTGAATTAAAGAGTTGGGTTGTAAGGTTAACAAGAGAAAGGCCTTCAGTTTACAAATAGTTTGGCAGCTTAACTGAAAATTGTATAAAAAAAAGACCATGAGACCATTTGCCATGAGAAAATATACTGTAGAAATGTTACCATGTTTATTATAAACAATACTTGTACTAGAGCAGGGATTGAAATTTCCACTTGCCTGCTTGCCAATGACGAGTGGAAATTATATTGTGTCCCCCAGGGCCGTCTTGCTGAGCAGGCTCGGAGCTCAGGCAGTATCTGTCATTGGCACTGGGAGCCGTCAGACTGCTTAATAGCTGAGTGTAGTGAAAGCAAAGCAAGGAGTGTGTGCTGTGCTCTCTGCCTCCCCCTAGAGTGCAGTACCCGGATCTGTGAGTGAACAACGAAGTACTGCAACTTTTTATGGGGGGGGTGTACGTGTACATGTGTGTGTGTGTTTGTGTGTGTCTGTGTATGCATATACAATTGTACATGTGTCTGTGTGTATGTACATGTGTGTATCTGTACATGTGTCTGCGTGTATGTACATGTATGTGTGTGTGTGTGTGTGTACATATGTGTGTGTGTGTGTGTGTGTGCATGTACATGTGTGTGTGTGGGTTTGTGTGTATGTACATACATGTGTCTGTGTGCACATGGTCTGTGTATATATGTACATGTGTCTGTGTGTATGTACATGTGTCTGTGCATGTGTATTTCTGTGTGTGTACATGTATCTGTGTGTATGCGTGTCTGTATGTGCCTGTGTGTTTATACATGTGTCTGTATGTGTGTGTGTACGTGTCTCTGTGCTTGTGTGTACATGTTTCTGTGTGTGTGTGTATGTACATGTCTCTGTGTGTGTACGTGTCTCTGTGCTTGTGTGTACATGTTTCTGTGTGTGTGTATGTGTATGTACATGTCTGTGTGTGTGTACAGGTGTCTCTGTTTGTGTGTGTTTGTTGGTGGTGAGTAACTCTAAGGCCTGGCTAGTAGCTCAGGCCTTGAAATTTTAAGCCCTGTGCTAGAGAACTCTGGAGAGAACACTGATGACATTGAAAAGTGGGTACATAATATTCATGTGTTCTGCTATATAGTTTTTTTTAATTTTAATTAAACCATTAACTCATGGCAATCAGTAATATTTTGTCTTTTACTTATGTGACTTCAGTAAACTGGAACCTGGAGGTAGAAGTGAAAAGAATGGAAATAATATATTTATAATAAAAATAATGCATATATTAATATATTCAATTTACACTATTGTATGAATTGTTTACATTCATAAACAGTTTGTTTTGACACCTCAGTGTAAATGTTGTTACTATAAAAACAGGCAGTACTGCATTGAAATGCATGAGGATATTATTGACAGAACATAAACAGAGTGTAAACCGAAACCAAAACTGCCTAAGAATGAAACAAAATGCATTCACAAGACTATCTGTCTACATCCAAAACAGATGATCATGGTAAACATCCAGAATAGAAGTTCAAACAACCACTTCAAAAACATCCAGCTAATGTGCCATTAAAGTTCAATCAATTCATCTGTGAATTATTTAGTCCTGGTAATTGATTCAAATAGGCTGGATACCTGGACTGTTTATGGATTTCCCAGAACCTACATGAGGACCTCTTCCCAGGATTAGCAAGCTCATGATGTATGTTTGAGGAACTGATTCAGATTCCTGTCATTCTGCACATGTTCTTCCTAGCACTCACGTGATGAACTGTGAGCTACTCCATTTAAGATACTACATTTTTACTAAGTAATTCCCAAAGGACTGCAAGCAAATCCAAGAACTATCAAAGAATCCAGGGAATCCATGAAAAGAAAAGTGACAACAAAAAGTCCAAAAAAAAACCCTTTGAATTGCGTATTTGTATCAACATTAACCACTTGAGCCCCACGGCAATTCTGACATGACTTACATGTAAAAATCAACATTTTTTTGCTAGAAAATTACTTATAACCAACAAAACAGTATATATATTTAAGCAGAGGTCCTAGAGAATAAAGTGGTGGATTTTGAATTTTTTTTATGTCACATGACATTTGCACAGCGTTTTTTCAAGTGCATTTGCGAAAAAATACTTTAATGAATTTTAATGCACAAAACAGACTATAATACCCAATTGTTTGGTAAAATATAAAAGATGTTGCACCAAGTTAGTAGATACCCAACATGTCATAGTTGAAAATTGTGCAAGCTTGTGGAATGATCACAGACAACAGTACTTAAAAATCTCCATAGGCATGCTTTAAAAGCCTCCATAGCTTACCAGTTTAGAGTTACAGAGCTTTAATTATTGCTCCCACTATAACGTTCGCAGAGATTCTTCACATGTGAGGTGCAAACATCCTTTATATATGCATGTGTGATGTATGTATGAGTTTGCATGCGAGCATGGGAGAATCAGGGTGCTTTACTTTTTTTTTAATTTTATTATTTTTTATTTCATTTTTTAATCACTTTTGTGGCTTTCACAGGGGATGAAAAACATCCCTTGTGATAGCAGAAGCAGTGACATGTCCCCTTTATGATGAGATCTTGGGTCTATTAGATCCCAGGTCTCTCCTCAAAACATGAGATCAAACTCAGGTTGGTTTGATCTGTTGCTTCCACAGGCTGGAAAAGGTCTGTTTATATTAGATTGAAAACAGAAGTGACAAAATACTTGTCGTGTCCGGTTTCATAGACCCTAGAGATGATTGGGGATATTAAGGTCCTCAGTCATCTCTAGGGTTCGCTGGCATAACTGCTGGGTTCAATCCCAGGTTCCCTGATGGGATGGGACAGTTTGGGAAGGAGGCTGAAGGCAGCAGGAGGGGGTAGACCCCTTCTGCAGCATGTAAAATCAATCCAGTGGCTAATTATCCACTTGGATCACTTTTACTTTATTCAGCATCACTAACTAAAAAAAACATGGCAGCCACTGTGATATAATCACTCAGACTTAATGACTTACAGGTACATTGTTGGATGACAAGTTGTAACAGATAAAATTAAGCTAATGTAAACAAATTTAGGTAAAGAATCACATTAATTTTATATTATCTCTGACTGACAAGTTTTTCCTGTGTTTATTCCTAAGGATAAAGGATTTTTATTTCCTTGGCCTCTTATAGAAAAAAAATCAGCAGAACATGTACAGCATGAATGTAGAAAAAAATAACTCTATAAATACTCTAGCCTTTGTTAAGTACAATTATCAGTACAATTATCTAATCAGGGTCAAGGTAAATATCTATCTTTCTTTCTTTAATCACATTATTGGGTATTTGATGTGAACATATAACAGGACAAATAAATTATCCACCAAGTGAGAATGCTTAGATAGAAGATATCTTTGAAATGCTTTCTGCTGAGCACTATATAGTGATAGCAAAATATCTCTGGTACATTGTGTTTTGGCTCTGTGACCTTAGCATCACATCAGCAATAGTTTTCCAGTGTTAGCACATACAGAAAGATTCCATGCTGACACTTACAGCATACCCACATCGAAATGATGCAGCATTTTGTTCTCTGTGCTGGAAAATAATATTTGAATTTTTTATTTTTCAAATTTTTTTTTAATCAACTGTTTGTTGAGGGTCCTATATTATATCATATCCAAAATTTAGCTTGATACATTTTGTAATTTTCTATAATTGCCCCTCCAAATAAAAACATTATGGCTCTATCCATTTTAACCATTAAGCATATGTTCTATAAATCCCAGCACAATGGTCATTCTGGTAAACATATAATAATTACAGAACTTGGATGGGCTTATCATCATGTACAAACCTCAAGACCTTTTTAAAGTTTTCTGTTCCTTCTTATCCTAATGTGATTTTGAGCCTCACTTTCTCCAGCCCCTAAATAGCTGCCCTCCCCAAATTGATGCATTTGCTAACTAGTGATGATTATGTATGCAGAGAACAGCCGTTTCATGATCAACCCTCACACTTAAAATCTTTTTTAATGTGATATTGAGCCTCACTTTCTCCAGCCCCTAAATAGCTGCCCTCCCCAAGCTGATGCATTTGCTAACAAGTATTGATTATGTATGCAGAGAACAGCCTTTTCATGATCAACCCTCACGCTTAAAATCTTTTAAAATACTTGTTTTCTGGTTTTGACATGAAAAACATTTCCAATCACTTCTGTTCATCGATTGTTTATTATTCACTTTTCATAGGCAAGCACAAGTTTTCTACAAACATTTCCCAGAACTAGACAGAAAGGGATGGTGTTAAAACTCATGGGCTAACTACCCTATAAAAGCGAGTCCACTAGAATTCAGAGTACAAATAGGACAACTTTAAATAGAGCTACACAGTGTATGTGTACAAAAAATGATTTACAGATACAATATAACAAGTAAATTTTTTTAAAGAGTTTCTTTTTTTTCTTTAAGAAGGAAGGATTTTTTGCATAGCAATTTATTTTACTTTTATATTGGTCTGACTGCCAGTTCTAAAAAGGCAAACCTTTTAAATTTTCTGAAAGAGTATATATTTTCTCATAAGCAGAAGTCATTTTTAACTTCAAATAGTTTTTATTGAAAGGTTTTTACACAAATGCAGTAATATATAACGTAATACACTGTGGTTCACATTAGAATGAGGTGGTACATAAGGTATGTATAACCTGAGGATGTATTTCCCCACCAGTTGGCTGGGGAAGATGTGGACCTGTTTTCATATTATTGGTAGACAAGAATAAACTAATGTGAATCTAGTGGTTTCGGAATACATTATGAATGGGGTCGGATGGGGATGAAGGAAGGGAGGGGGGGGGAAAGGGGGGAGTACCAGTCAAGCGTTATGTACTTAGTAGTAATGATATTATATGGATGTCAATTAATAGAGCAGTTAGGGTCATTGAGCCAACGAGACCATTGGAATTTATGGTATGTGAGGTTTCGGGATGCTGTTCTCTTTTCCATTTCACATTGGTAATTTAGGTCATTGATAAGGGTTGAGAAAGCAGGGATTTTGGTGGACTTCCACAATCTGGTGACATTATTTTTTGCCTCTGCCAGTATGTGGATTATGATAGTTTGTGTGTTTGGGGGAAATTTGTCTATTCCTATATTTAAAAGGGCTAGGGCTGGATTTGGGGGGATGCGGGATTCTGCTATTGAAGAAATTAGTTGAAACACTTTATTCCAAAATGATGTAAGAGATTTACATTGCCATAGTGTGTGAGTGATCGAGCCTAATTCTCCGCAGTGTCTCCTACATTTAGGTGAGTGTTGGGGGTAAAAAAGAGCGAGTTTAACTGGTGTTAGGTACCATTGGTGTAATGTTTTTAAGTATGAATCCCAGTGGGAGCTACACTTGGAAGCTTTGTATGTAATGTTGAAGGTTGCAGAAGTCATTTTTAATATGAAAAATAACTCCATACAAAGTCTACTTTATTTATGGGGCCCACACATGGAACATTTATAGAATTTATATTGTTACGCAAAAAATTGCAAGCTTTTTGAAATTTTGCACACAAGGCTATTAAAATGTGCATTGGTGTTTATTGATATTATAACAAACACAGTGGGGTAGATTTACTATAATGCACTTAGAATCTAGTGCAGCTGCACATGATAGTCAATCAGCTTCTAATTCAGCTTGTTCAATTAAGCTTTGGGAATAAAACCTGGAAGCTGACTGGTTACTATGCAGAGTTGCACTAGATTTTGAAAGCTCCAGTTTTAATAAATAACCCCCAATGTTATTTAGCAGACAATCTTTTACCTTGCAATATTGCTACTAAACAAATCTTTTCTACAATCAAGGTCCTTAAAGGAAAAGACTTGTGAATCTCTGGGATGGTGACATCTTAGAAAGAAGACAATCAAACTCAGGTATTCCAGTCTAAGAAAAGATAATAGAGGTGTGACTAGAAGGTACCCTACCCTACAGCAAAATG